CGGCCCACTTTTATGATTTGTTAAATTGAATATGACTGAGTCGTCTAGATGCATCCATTTTACCAAGGTGAGAAACGTTCGTGCAACCATTTCTACAATACGAACCCAAACAACGCAGTTACAATGCATTCTGAAAACAGTAAACCTGTAGTGGCACGTGCAACAGACTTAGTTTACACGGATTCTTACTTCTTGTACAGAAAACTCGTAATTTATCCTTCAGCCGGAACGGCATCTCACTCAATCCTTTTCAAATCGTCGTCCCACTATTCGCTATCTTTTTGCGGTGGCCTTGTTTCTAGCTGTCAAAACGCTATATATGAACACATACCTGACTGTTTGCTCTTTCTGTAAACTGTTTTCTCTATATTCCATAGTTATTTGCCGTCGTTGTATCTGTCTTACTGCTGAGAAATATGGACAGAAATATAAAGCAGAGAAAGGCGCCGATCTAAGTACTCTCGGCCTCATCCGACCAGGGCTCAAGCAACGTAGTCTTCCATCTTGAATGTGACACCGTCCGTTTGTCTGCTTTTGTATAAACCTTCCTTTACTTTTACTTCATTTACTTTGATAAATTCACCTTTTTGATGCTCTTGCATGGTGCGAGTCAAGTGTAACTAGGTGAGGCCGAATGCTTCGCTCAAGCAAATGATAGCCCTCCTCTTAAAAGCGAAAATCAAGTTCTTGGGATCTGGCAAAAACAACAGCAACTTCTTCCCCTGTCAAGACCAATAATTATGCTTCGTGTGCCAGTACTGCAAAATCGGTCCCGGAAAAATTTCCGGGCAAGAAATGTCCAAAGGGACAAATGGTGCGTCTCACCCGAGGGGCTATTGGGCATGAGAACTCCAAAATATAGGGAAGACTGGTCAACTGGGTAGGAAATTTTCACACTAGTCCCGTATCTTCAAATCAGAAGTGAAAGGTCGAAAGACAGGGTTTTGTCCCGAACAAATTGAATGCTAGCGCGGGGAAAGCAAGGCATATTTGCCGAAGATCACCGTGTGTAGTTTGCATGACGTTTCTCTGAAAAGACCGGCCATTCTTACAACGTAATTCTACTTTCTTATACATCCAAACCAAACGGTCCTCGTGGACGGTCGGAGCGAAGAAATATTTCTGCCGCCCCCACACTACAGTAACAAGTTGCAAAATCTGTTATCCAATGAACTACCGACCTCAACAGCCGACCCCTACAACCCGTCTTTGTCCAATAGGAACGACTAGTTGTCCGGGATAAGTGTCTCGCATAGCGATAGCATCCACGCATGCGTTCGCCTCGACTATCACATTAACGGATGACGTGAGACAAAGCGACTGGTCTCTAGTGCTGACTCAACGAGGGTCCGAACACCGCTTTCAATCGGAATGAGCCATTTGTTTACAGTCCTTTCGCATTTTTTGGCCAACACCTTTATAACTAGAAAACGTGAAGTGCTGCATGTACTTTGAAGTTGCAATAAGGACAACAGCAGGGGGAATTTAAGATTATATACAAAAAAATCGGGTGGACGAGAGATTTCATCGCGGTTTCTTAGAATGACCAAAACCGCCGAATCCCATTATGGCGGCAACATCTTCGTCTTCTTCGTACAGGTCCCCATCTGCTTTGCGCTTCTTCTCCTTCCTCTTCTCCTTCCTGTACGCCTTCATTTTCTCCTCCTCTTCGGCAATCTGCTTCACTCTTTCCTCAAAGTTGTACTCCTTCGACTTTGTCTCTTTCATTTTCTTGTGCATGGAGAACCTAAAGGGATTAGAGCCATCTCTGTGAACCCATACGAACCTGCTCTTCACCTCATCCAGACTTGAACGCTTGATCCGCATAGACATGCCCAGATTTCGCTGATGCTTTTTGCCATTTACGTGATCCAGAAAGTTTATGGAATCCTTGACCACGCAGTCGCAGTATTCGCAGTAGTAGCCGGCCTGTGAGCTGCCTGGGCCGGTTTTAGCAATCACCTGGGACTTGTTAAGATTGGCTTCAAGAGGTATCTGGCTTGGTATTAACTGGTAAAAAAAGCAAAGATTACAATTTCCGTACGAGGTCGTAAGAGCTGCTTCTTCACCGTGTCTTTTTCCTTGCGTGCATTGCGCAGAGCTTCTAGCTCCTCACTCGACCGTTGGTCGGCGAGCTTCTCGAAGTAGGCCCTGTCCCATTTTCTTCTGTGGTCGTTCTGTCAAGCATGTGAGACAATAAAAGCTATCTTACCGCAGCGCACATGTTGTTTCAACCAGTGCCAACCAGCTAAAAGTGAAAATGACACGGGAGAGGCCATAAGTTATGGGATATTCGAGATTCGAGTTGGTCTGATAAAACCAGGAAACGGCCACGCGATAGTGGTTGGCTTGACACATAAAGGCGAGCTCGCTAGAAGATAAAGATCCTAGTTTTTGCGCATATGAAGCCTCACCAGGTTTTGTGTTTGTCGGTTGTCAGCGTGCGCATGCCGATTGTTTCCACTGCCTTGGCTCTTCTCACTAGCTGGTCTTGGCAACTACATAATCGCCCTCCCTTGGCCTTAAGTCCAAATTCCGCCGTTCTGAAAAGAGCTATCAGACTGGTTGCGCCACCCTAACTGCGACCGTGAATCGCAAACCACAAAGTCGAAGGCGAACCAAAGGCCTACTAGCCTTAGACGATGTCGCGTGTGGCAACCAGTTGTTTACCGGGCACTTAAATCTAGCGAAATTTACTGGGACAAAAGTGGATTTAGTATTTAAAAATAGTCATTCGGCTTTCTCCCAGACGATAGCGTGCGTACAAATTACCAAAAAACGAGATTGGAGTCTTCTCGGGCTCCGAAAAGAGTGGAGTTCGACCTTCATGCCACGTCGCGAGCATTTGCTGACTTTGTATCCAAAACGACAGTCATACGACCGGCCACACTGACTACATTCCAGTCACATCAAGGTTTCGTAACTAGGTGTACGGTGACAGGCCGATGAGAAGTGCCGAAACTAACGTCTGAAAGTTCCTCTCCTATCTGCGTCCAGAATGTCTCGGGAAAGTCGCCTTGATATCGAAGAATTGCAAATCGGCACGGCCAGCACTCGGGACATGGAAATTTGACTAGTAACAAGGAGTCATCAGTAAAACCCTCTGCCCGCGGGGCAGTTGAGAGAATTCTCCTGTTCGCATTGTGCTGCCGCAATGACTGGATCAAATCGAAAGACATACAATTCTGACAAACATCTTAGGCTAGGTCCCGCAACGAAAATATGTGCCGTCGGCCAAAAGTCAAAAAATGGTGGACTGAAATGGCTACGTCTGTGGAGCAGGTCTCAACCACCGGCGACACTCAACATCCCCAAGAACTGGGTCGTCAAGTTAGTAACTAGATCCCTGTACTGATTTGTGGCTCGTAATGTGAATGGTGACCTTATTTCTGAAAACTCCGCAAAGGTCGAACATTGGTGTGGGAACTTCAGGCGCCTCTCAAACTTTGACGAGGCAACAATTTTCTCTTTCTGGGGCTGGAATATCCTTCTCCAGTCTACGCAGCGTCGTGAAAATCTTCCCGGAAAAAGTCTACCGATACAAAGAAAAGACATCTCCGTCGGATTTAACAGGTCTTTTCTCGATACTAAAACTCTGGCTTCATGAGATAGCCGAAAAGGACTGCGGGAGATAAGGGTGTTTTCGATGACCGGAACCCGGTCACCTACGTGCCTCTCTTTGGGAAGGTGGATAAGAAAAAGTAACGGAATAATCGGAGGACACTGACACTGCTGAAGAGGTGTTTGAGATCGTCATTCCCGAACAGGCTCAAGCACTGTGACTCGAGCACGTGGCTCAAACAAATAAGGCTCGAGGTTGAATTTGCATGTTCCGATCGACTATTCGCACTGCAACGCACCCTTGAGTTTCGTCATGGCTACCAATAAGCATCGGTAGTCAACGTTGTCGACTGCTGCGGCTGTAGCCGATAACCGGTGTTCGGCGTCTTGGTTCAACACCCAGCTTCGTCAGAGTCATCCGCCTTATCTGCAGGCTGTTCCAGACTCGCTGACCTAACTACTTTCTGACTGACTGCAACATGCGCACACGCGCGCATTCAGACGATTATGGCCGTCCATGCCTAACTT